ATCTATGTGTGTGCACAGTGCACTCACTCTGTGTCTGTGTCTGTGTCTGTGTGTGTGTGTTTGTGTTTGTGTGTGTGTGGGTTTGTTTGTATGCTAATACAAAGACGGAAGTGGCGGCGGAAATGCTGGGGAATTGAGCTGCGCTCGTTGCCTTTCACAGAAATTCGCGGTCGCTTTTTATGCCAAAAGTCAAAAATGGCAGTCTCTGAGGCAGCTACAGAGCATTACGCATGCAAAGAATGGGCAAGAGAGCAGGCTATATGAGGAGTGAAAGAGACATCGAGCGAGTGTGTGTGTGTGTGTGTGTGTGTGTGTGTGTCTCCGGTTGGTTGTTTTTGGCTTGTTTGCGGCGCCTGCTTGAAATTCATGACTGTTTAGCACACATGCCGCATAATGTTGCATACATTTGGGTGGCACAGCTGCCGCGAGCGCTGCGTCTGTTCAATGTAGCTGCATTTCTTGTTCTACTCACACACTCAAACACACACTCACACTCACACTCACACACATGCACACAGTTACTATTTATGCATTTTCACATAAATGCAGAGTGTGTGTTAGTTGTGCATTTATAGCTGCAACTTGTTTTGCATGCTAATTGGCTTTCGCAAATATCGAGCTGTCTGTCGGGCTGTCCTCTGTCTGTTTATCTGTGTACCTTCAATTTGTCGCATGCAGCTCATTAGGCACGAATACATGCATATATTTATATTTGTTTAACTGTTTAATGTGCTCAATTTTATGAACTCTTGCTACATGCAATTCGATTCAGAAGGCGCTTGAGCAGTGTGAATTAATGAAGTGTTTTAATAGCATCATCCATATTATTATTATCATTATCAGATGGGCATTATCATAAATTTGACTAAAATAGAGATAAATGTAGCATTATTAATATTATCTCTATCTTATATCAATTTCATTCTCATTATCATTGTCATTATCATTATAACTGTCATCATTATCACTGTCGTCCTTATTCTCATTCTCATAATTATTCTCATTATTGCTCTCAATATCATTCTCTTTATCATTATCATTCCCATTTTCATATTATTCTCATTTTGGTTGTCATTGTCATTATCATTATCAATCTCATTATCCTTCTGATTATCATCCGCATTTTCATTTTCATTCTCATTCTCTTTATCATTCGCACTCTCACTCTTATCTCACATTCTCATTATTATTATCATTACCATTGTTACCATTTCTTATTATTCTCATATCAATATCATTATTATTGTACTTCTTATTCGAAGCACCTTTAAGGAGTTTCAAACTTAACTTCAATCAAACCCCTTCCTGCTCATGGAAAGTTTTTCGGTCTCACCGGCAACAAACCCAAAACTCAAACTCAAGTCAAGTAATCTTTAGCAAATTATAAAATACAAGTTGCAACGGGCAAAGTCCAACCAAATTACAGCCAAAAAACTTTTCATATCGATGGGCTCTTCTCCTGTTTTTGATGCAAGACCAAAGCAAAGCAAAGTAAATCAAAACACAGAAAACTTTGAAGCAACTATCTAGTACATTTATATCATGCATATACCTCAAATACACTCAAATGAAACTTTAAAACGTGTCGATCCTGTTGCTGCTCCTGCTGCTGCTTCTGCAGCTGCTGCTCCTGCTGATGCTGTTGTCGTGGAAAATGCGTGCACATGCGGCTTATGCGTATTGTAATCATGTTGCTATGGCATTTCAGCCACGCCCACTGGCTGCCTGTCGCTGCCTAATGCCCAATGCCTAATGGCATTATGCATATTTCATTACATTAAGTGGCAAAACAACGCATAATCAACTTGCGTTCACCCTGTTCCTGACACTGCACACAGCCTGGGCGTGGCATCTAATACCAAACGCCAACCGCCCCTGACCACCCCACCCGCCCATCTCTAACGTGGCCATCTAATAGCCAAATGCATACCCATAAAAAAAAAAAAAGAAGCCTAAATCGTTAGCACGGGCCGTTGTGGGCAAGAGGCAGTGGCCTTGCCACAAAATTTACAAATTGGAAATTTTGCTGCTTTTCATCAGAACAACAGAACACAGCACCCCAGCACGCCTCCTGCCCCATCGCCCAATCGCTTCACGCTGCGTGCACTAATTGTATTGCCAACAATTTTGCTATTTGCAATGCTCGAGCCTCGTAGCTGAGCGCTTTAAATTAGTTACGTCAACATTTGTGTAAAGTGACGAGTTTTTGTTATTTTTTTTTATGCAGGCCAAGAGCTTTTGGTAAATTAATTGATGTCGCATCGATTAAGTGCTTAATCATTGTGTGGTTGAAGTTAAAGGAAGCTTGTTAAATATTTCATTAAAACTTTACAATAGTAATGATAGTCATAATGATGATGATAGTTGTAAGAGATGTGATAAAAGTAGAAATACCTATGGTTAAGGCTTTTTATAATGATACTGTTAATTGTAATGCAAATGATTATGATTGATGCCATAGCTTAAGACATTGAAAATACATATAATAATAAAATTATAATGACGGTAATAATGATAATGATTATAACTATGATTATGCCAGTAAAATTCTGATAATAATGACAATGATGATCATTAGAGTTGGCTAGGAGCCGACTTGGGTGCGTCATCATTGCCATTAGAATGATAATGACCAATGCACATATTAATTATATAGCTAATAATTATGACTGTACCCTTGATTATGATCAATGATTGCGATTAATGATGATTTGCTAATGATTACAAATGATTTATGTTAAAGATGTTGTTCACCCATAAGAAAATTGAATGCTGCAAACGATCAGATTTTAGGTAATTATTCAGGTGGTTGCAGGCAATATATTTGAATGTCGGTTTGCTGATTTATTTTCTTCATAAACTGTGAACAACATGTGGGGAAAACATAAACAAAATATTTGCTAAAATATTTGCAAATTAAATGCAGCCGAGAGCTGCGAAAATATTTTATTTGTAAATAAACACCCACCAAAATACCCCAGCGTGTGCTCCATCCATAAGATAGAGATTAGAATTAATTATAAATAAATAGAGGAACTAGCCAATTCACATTGAATAAAACTTATCACAGTTGGCCAACTTTACATGGAACTTCTGATTTGAGTAGTCATCGAAGTGGAGACCTCTTAGAGATAAGAAATAGTGCCTGGTACAAAACTACTAGAAAACTATATAAAAATTTATGATTCAACATTTCTCAGCAATAAATATACTTTATAATCATTTATGCATAAATGAGTATGAGTAAAACATAGATTAGGTTAATCTTTTATTACTCTTAGTTTTATTACATTTAAAGCTGAAACCCATAACCCAGTAAACAATAAAATATAAACCCATAAAATAAATAAATTTAAGAAAAACTTAAGTTTTTTAATAATAGAAAATATGAAATCTATTCAAAAAGAAGCTCAGAGGATTTTATCTGGGTAATGCATAAAATTCTGAAATAAATAAAATGAAATAATTCTCCCAGAATTAGGGACTTTTTCTGCTTTAAGATATTTAGCTTTAGTTACATGCTGTTGATATTTAGGGAAGTATCAAAAGAATTATGTGAAAAGTAAGAGCAGGCTCAAATACGAAAAAAGTCGTTATATTTTATATCTACATAGGGCTCGGCTCCGTAATCTCTTTCTGGTTTTACTTACATACGTAATTCGTAGTCCGTCTATGGCTCGATTTGCGCTCCAGACATTTCTCATGCATGTGGAAACTCCCTTTGGAGATTAGCACATGCCATAAATTCATTTAAGTCTGCCTAATCCCGAAGCACACACACATATGTACACTCTGATATTAGTTTGGATATTGCTTACAGGGCATAGGGTACAGGGTATAAGAGTGTATGGGAGAGAGAAAGAGAGAGCGAGGCTAAGAGATGTAAAGAGGTTGAGGGAGACAGTGAATATGCATGGAATGCCTGCTGTAAAATTTATTTATGACTTTGTTTTTGCACACGAAACGTTTTGCTGTCTGTGCAACTGAATATTAAAAATGTTTGCATTGTCTTTGAGCAATTTTAGCTTGCAGCCAATGCATTTATCATGAGCCAGCTTAAACCAGTGCTCACAAAATAATTGTATGCAAACGAACAGAATTCAGATTGCTTTGAAGAACACGGGCAAAAATCAATAAAAATCTTTTTAAAAAAAATTGTATTCTAATAAATATGAAAATAGAAATGGAAATTTTTCATAGAGATTTTTCTAAACACATGTTTCTAGGCGTCGTGTGTGGCATTTTGTATTGACGCACTTTCATGTTTCAGATACTTTCATCGAAAGTGTCTGTGTTTATGCAATAATTACCGTATTGAATGTTATTTCTGGCATCGCATCAAGGCAGAAAAAGAATAAATTTTAAAGCAATTGCCAAAAGAAATAAAATGCTAACAAAAATTCCCCATTTCAAGTGCTTGATTATTTCATATTATTTATTATCAATCATTTGGAAATCAAAGAATATAATAGAAATAAATCTAAACCGAAAAAGAATTAGCTGAATTGTTATTGTTATTTGCGTTGCCGATAAGTTGTTATAGGTGTGCGAGCAAATTGGCCATTGGGCACTATACGATCATTATCTTTGAAGAGTTAGCATTGAAAACGCAGAAAAAAGGGAAAGTGATGAAACGTGTATTGAAGTGCGCTCTCACTATCTTCCCTCTCTCTCTCTCTCTGCCACTCACCATCGTCCACTCACTCGCAATCCGGTTCTCTTCTACGACGTTCTCTCGCGACGTGCGCTGCTTACATAGAGTGCACATTTAACCGCATTCAGAGTTTTGAAGTATTTTCGTTATATCATTTTTGATAAAAACACAATTCTGTTTATTGTTTACAATTCCACTCCACGCGCTCCCTCCCCCTCGTCGCCTAAGAGCGTTCGCTGAGTGCATGGAAACGAAAGCAGAATCGGAATCGGAATCAGAATCAGAAATGGAATCGGCAGCGACTTTTTGGTTTGGCCTGCTCGCTCGTGAAATGTGCGGGCATTGTGTGATCAGTCTTTGGGACGCGTATTTGGCGTGCAGATCGCGGCCGAGAACTTCGCATCGAAAATCCACTCTCAGTGGTTGAGGCAAAACAAAAGTGAATATTAAAACGAAATAAATTTAATTTGTGCATTTAAGAGGCTTATCAAAAATTTGCTCAATAAAAAAAAAGAAAAAAAAAAAAAAAAAAAAAAAAAAAAAAAAAAACAGGTTTTTTTTACTATTGCCAAACATAAATACATTAATTCAAATTAATTTTTTGCACAAAAATATTCAACATAAAAAAGAAACAAACTTTGCTGTTATTTAACATAAACAAGCCGCATTTGTGTTTAGTCAGCTTTAAATATGAGACCGCATATTTAACTACTTTAATTTCACAACAACAACAACAAAAGGAAGCAAAACAAAACTGCGCATTCAAATTAAAGCCCAATTGGTTTTCGAATTTGGCACCCGATGCCCAGCTCCAGGAGCGAGAAGAAGAGACAGCGCACATTACGGCATTTGCACAGTGGGACCGTCCAGCTGGAGTGGGCCGACCAGCTGATTTGTATTTATATTTATATTTGTTTTCGGCTCTGCTTTCAATCTGGTTTAGTTGTCAGCCGCGCAATGCGCGCGACACGCTCTGCAGAGTTCATTAGCCCAGAGTGCGGCAGCCGGAGGGTGGCTGAGTGAGTGAGCCAGAGAGAGCAAGTATGAGAGAACGGCGTCATGTGCTAACTTCTATGCTCTTATACGTGTAAACATAACACTTATGCACATGCCATTCTTATATGTATAAGAACTCAAATTTATCATATTCTATTTGATTGCTCACTCTGCTGTCTGTGACAAACAGAATTCTATGCTCTTATACGTGCCAGCATAATATTTGCATATGTCGTTCTTATATGTATATGTATATGTGTAAGAACTCGGATTTATCTTATTCAATTCGATTGCTCGCTCTGCTGATATCTCTGCCTCTGGCACTGACTTTGACGTGGGCCTTGCGCTCTTCCTTCTGTTTCGCCTCTTTCTTTTTCTTTGTTTTGCTTTGTATTTTTCTTATCAAACGTTATTCGATAATAATACCCTATATTTATTGACAGTACAAAGAAAAAGAAAAACATACATATACATATATTTGGGCAAGTAGTAGCCTCGAACTAATTGCTTACTTTTATTCAAATTTTATAAGTATGTATAGAAAGAGATAATAAAGAAATAGAAATTAATACATATATGAGATAGCATGTGTAATTAGGCTTATAGTCTTAAACAAATTTTTGCAGTTATTCTTATAAAGTATACTTAAGAATTTTATTTTAATTATTTTTGAGCCTCAACCTAAAAATGTAATTAAAATTATTGCTCACCTTTTGCATATTTTTGATAAATGAAGTACGCAGTAAATGTATATATAGATTGCCTTCGTCATGTGATTAATTATTTACTATGAATATACGAATATCCAATATTTGCCTAGTTCACATTTGTCATATCTCTCAAATGCGCAATTTATTACTACCGAATGGATGTAGATAATAATATCTATTATGGCAAAAATTATTTTTGGAATTGTAGAGAGCCGATAAAAAATAATGAACATATTATTATTGGATGAGCAAGAAGAAAGGGTAGCATTAAACTGGAAGATTTTGAAGAGGTAACATATGTATGTGTGTATATATGTATAATATATTAATATAGATTACATATGTCTGTTCTAAAAAATAGTGTATTTTCAGTTGCTAAAAAGTTTTTATTTATATAGATTTATTTAACATGCGTCCGTAGATGTACTAAGATTTATTGCACCACAAAGAATTTAATTGTTTTTATGCCCGATAAAAAAATTGTATAATTCAAATGCTTTGAATTAATGTCGTCGAGACTTACTCAAGCTAAGCATTTTCTATAATTGGAAATAGTGAGTTTGCTTTTCTCCCAAGAACTAATATACACTACATTTAGGCTCAATAATCGAAAGCTGTAAAACTTAAAAATTCTTCTGGTATTTTTCCGTAGCTAGCTGGTAGGCCAAGTTGTTGCATTGTAAATCTTCATCTTGATGGGCAGGCCAAAGAAGTTCGACTCATGTGCATTGATGTTGGCCGAAAAACGGGTTAGGGCCTTAGAGAATATACACACATACAAAATTATATACAGATCGTGTGAAGAGCTATATGTAATACATACACTTTTGTCGGGCTCTGATAAGTAGGCATCTTCGGCTTTGAGAAAAGCCAGCACTCCATCATTGACTTCAGATCTGTTCTTGGAACAGAAGTGGCGATTGATGGTATTATACGGAAAATTTTTTGATTTATCCGAGCTTGATCCCTTTCTCCTTTGACCAGTGTAATATTTGGACTTCCCCTTTTTCGAATCATCTTTATCATCCGGGTCATAAAACGGACATTTCTTCCGAATCTCCTCTCGTTCATAGTCGATTCTCATTTTAATGGCCTCAATCATGGTGATCGGATCGATGGGATGTGGCTTATCCGGTATATTGCCCGCGAATGCAATGTCGAACGCATAATCATTGAAGTCCTCCCGATCATTAAGCGAATTCTGTATAATACCCGGACAAGTTTGATCCATCACCAAGGCGTTGAAGAATAGCGTATTTGTGCGCTGTATATACCGTTGCTCAGCTGCCGAAAGAAAAGCAGAGGATGAGGTCAAGTCATTGAGTCATAGATCCAGATCTAACTCACGTGTCGAATCATCGACAAAGGGCGTTACTCGCAATGGCTTTTGGTCGGAGGTGGGACTGGCACCGGGACCAAGACTGGGTCCAGGAGCCTGCTGACCGTAAGGCTGGCCTATTTGAGTTGAATTCATGATGGGCATAAATGAGTTCTGAGTCGTGCCCTGCCAGCTATCATTGGAGCATGCTGCACAAGATTGCTGTGTGCGATTGGTAGTTGAAGACATCGGATTCGTATCGAAGAAAGTCACCTGTGCTTAGTGGAGAGGAATTAATAAAACTTTCAAGTAATGGGAGAGAGGGAGGGAGTAAGAGAGGGAGTGAGGAATTGAGGACTGGATCACTACCCAAACTAATCTATAGCACATTCATGCCATCGACTATCAATAAGGCATCTTGCTAGAGTGTTTACTAGTCGGATATCTACCAAACATTCCATTACTTACATTCGCATTCGCCTGCATACCGGGACCTCTCATATAGGGCGCCCTCTGCTGCGCCTGGGGCAACTGCATATAGGTCGTCGTGTCATAAGAGTCGTTGCAGTCCCGCTGCTTTTGGTTGTGAATAGATGATAGATGGGAGAATTTGTGATTATAGTTGGATAACAGCGCTCACCTGTATCGGCGCACAGGACGTGCTCCCAGCTGCCTGCTGCCGCTGGGGGTAAACCACTTGGCATGGAGCTGCCGCTGACTGCTGAAATTGAGTTGGCTTTAGGAGCTGCCATCGAGGCCTCGGTCGACTTGGACTTACCCTTTGTGCCATGGGCCGGGCGGAATATGCTTGACTCTGATTCGGATCAGCATTCTGGCAGCATGAATGCTTTGCCTGCTGTGGCAATTGCTGTTGTGGCTGCTGCTGTGGTTGTTGTTGCTGCTGCTGCKGCTGTTGCTTCTGCTGCTGTGCGCGTAGCTGTCCACAGGACGAGCGTGTACAGGGCTGCCTGCCCGCATTCATGGTGCTATTAAGTGGAGGCTCCTAGAAACAAAACCCCAAAGAGAATAACAGCTCGTATGAGGGCTTTCATTTACACTCGAAGCTCCTTGTGTGGTCGGAGCTCTACTCACAAACTTCTCATAGGTTTGATCCTTGCATTGCCAGTTGCCATTGGAGGAGGGGCCCTGCTGCAGCTGTTGCTGCAGTTGCATCTGCTGCTGCTTTTGCATTCGCAGCCATTTCTCATAGCTCAGATCAAAGCCTCTTTCTTCCGGCGGACCTGGTGTTTGTGGTCGCATCGGATCGTAGCATAGCCCATTGCTCGAGAGTACGTACCCGCTGCTGGTTGGCCTATTGGGACACTGAGAAAGCAAAAGTAATAATTACATATGCGAAAAAAGAAGGCAGCAGTGGGCAGTATCAGGCTGAGCTAGCCCAGAGTTTGTCTGATTAATCGTTAACTATCCCTGCAGAGCTAGTCTATTTCCTGATCGATCCCGACTCAACTTATATTTAAAACTTACGGTTGAACATGATGGTCCTCCACCCGACTGATTCGATTTTCGTTTCTGCAAGAGCTTGGAATATGTTAATGCTCCTTGGATAAAAGAGAAGTGAAGTGCTTACGTAGATCTCAGTTGGCTGTAAGCTTCCTGTGCTCTAAGAGTTAAAATTTAAATTAAATTAGATTTTTCCTAAAGCCAAGTTATTTGAATACTCACGTTTTTCTCGTCCTGCTGATCTTCGCGACGAGAATCGGTTTGTGATGCCGGAGCGCTTACAGAGCGACTGCGTCGATCCATTTGGCCACGTACCATGGAAGGTACATTGTTCACCTGCGTCCAAAAATCCCGAGCAATTTGCAAGGGCTAAAAAAACGGAGATAGATATGAAATGCTTGGACTAACGTAGTAGAATCTGGTTGGGGTACCTGAATCGTTATTGAGGATGTGTCCTGGACGGCAGTCGTCAGCTTGGAGGGGCGCTTCTGCGCTTCACCTTTCTCTGGAGGATTACTCCCATGCATATTTACTGGATAGTGATTTATGCGCTTGTATTCGGCATAACCTCCACCGTCCCAAGCATCAGAGCCACTCTCCGTAAGACTTAGACACGAAAGGGTTGTGTCAAGCTCCTGCCCTTTTTCTTCTGGCCAATAATTCAGGAGTTGACTAAAATCAACATAGACCGTTAACTCATTAGACGGCCCCAGAGTATCGCTTAAATTATACATTTGAGGTATTTTCTTCACTTACAGTTGATTGCAGTTCCAGCTGGTCACAATAGTTAACTACTTACCCGAAGTGAATCGCCCCTGATGAACGGATTATTGTAAGCAAAACTTGGGCCTGAAATTTTGTTAGCCTAGACGCGATCAAAGTTAAATAACCATCATATCTAAAATAAAAGAAATTTCTAAAAATTCAATTTCAAAAATCTTCCGAAAGTCAAGGCTGACTAGCTTAGGGGGATACGGGGCATGGCATAATTTAGATTTTAGTTTGACAGAACGAAATCAAATTTTGTTATAATTATTTTCACATTTTTATAGGGTATTCATTTTATAGGGTATCCATGTATTTTTTTCTATAAATAAAGAAATAGTTTCGTTTTCTTTTTAAAGCAATTAAAGAAAATTCAAGCCGATATATACCCTGTAATTTCTATATAAGTTAATGGGCAAAGAGTAACTTCGGCTCTACCACTTCAAATGCATTTTATTTCATTTTTAAATTCTTTTTCAATTGTAAATAAGCTGTCCACTTTTATATATCTGCCACATGTATACCCTACAAGTTAAGTACAGGGTATTTCATTGATGCTATTTCTAAATTCTAAATCTCAATTTAGTTTCAGCGCCAAGTTGATAGTAACGGGCATATACCCTGTAATCTATAGCATATTAAGAAAAGCGTATGAATGAAACAAGTTCTTATCTTCGTATATATATTATGATTTATTTTATTATATATTAATGACTTTGCTTCTTCAATATTACATTTGATGCACTTAAGTCTAACTGGTAGTCGCATAAACCTCTTGGCATACCCTCAACAGCTCGCCTTATCATTGGGCAACTGCTTCAATGGCAAACTCCACAAAAGCCAAATCGTTTCTGTTGTTGTCCATATCCGTTTCCTGTTTGCACATCCTGCCCCTGGGGCAGCCGTCGTGCCGCACAGCGACTGAGCCGCCCATTTGCTCGGCGAGCTGTGCTAGGAATGTGGGCGTGGCATGCACATTACGCGTGAAATCCAATTCACGCAAACTCGCCGACTGGCTGACAATAAACCGGAGCAGAGCACGCGGCACATGCAGCGCCTGCGGCAGCCACTTGATGCTGCCATCCGTGGCATCATAGTGCACCATCAGCTGTGAGTGCCAAGCGAACCGCTGCAGGTGCACCACGCTCAAGTGGCCAGCCAGCAGACGCAGCAGGCTGCCATCCAGTTGACATTGCAAACGCAATGCCACAATTTGACGGGCAGCACCGCCAACACCAGCAACACCATTAACACCACCAACACCACCCCGGCCGAGAGCCGCCAGGCAGGCGGATACGGTTGCGGTGGCCAATCCGCCAGCATTCGCTTTCTCTTTGTCGGCATTGTCAATGTCGCCGCTGCAGCAGAGGAAGCCTGTCAACTGGCGCAGCTGCGGCAGCTGGGCAATTTCCTTGCTGGCCGCACGCAGCGCGCACGCCGGAATTTTCAGCGTTAGCAGCGTTTGGCAATATTCAATGTCGGCCAAGGCTGGCGTTGCCGTGGCACCGCAGATGCCGCTGCCTGGCAGCAGCTCAAATTGGCTCAACTGCGGCAGCTGGGCCAGCGCGCGGCAGAGCTGCGCGGCTTCCACGCCCACGCAGCCGCCCAGCTGCAGCTGCGCCAGGTTGGGGCAGAGCCGTGGCAGCTGCCGCAGCAGCGCCTTCGAGTGGCATGCCCCAAAGCTAAGCCTTTGCATGTTGGGCATGCATACCGGCTTCTGCTCCAGTTGGCGCTTCCGCTTACGTTTCCGTTTCGATTGCAGCCAGTCCGGCAGCTCCGCCTGCCGCACGCTGAGATTAAGCAGCGCCCTCGTCAGCCGGGCCATGTGGCCGAGCAGCTGGCTCTGCTCGCTGGCGCGTAGGCCCTCCAACTGCTGCGGCTCCTGCTGCCAATCGAATTCGCTGGCATATTTACGCTGCCAAATTTGCAGCACCAGCGGACGCAGCCGTCCGCCCAGCCGCAGCAGCGCGAATTGGTCCTTAATTGAGAGCTGGGCGCAGATCAGCAGCAGGCAATCATCATTCAGGGTTGTCAGCGTAACGGGCGCTGCAAGACAGTCGGGGTGATGGTTAGACAGATAGAGACGGAAGCCATTTGATTAATTTCGGCTGAGGCAGCCATTCGATGTTTGCTTTGATTACCGTTATGCTGCCTGGGCTGCATTTCGTTTCGATTTCGCTGTTGCCTCGACAAAAACGCCCTTTGAACTGAATTAGCATTGCTGTGACTCGGCTGCGACGCTGCTGCGGCTCTGCTATGCTCTGCACCCCCTGCACCCCCTCCAATCACTGTCCCAGTCAGCTGAGACTCCAGCTGTGCGACATCGATACCAACCCGACAATAACACACATGCACCATTTGTTGCAAGCCATGTGCACAGTGGGCTCACTCTTATTGTGTGGAAGATGAAAGTGTAGAGAGAAGATTTATATATAAACATATATTTATACTTTTAATTAATTATATCTTTTTTTTATTTATTCGAATTATTTTTATTTATAATTTATAAATGTATATTATAATATATAAGCAGCATTTTCAATGACGCACACACCACTGTGCCGCTGTTGGTGGTGGTGGTGCTGCTGCCGCCGCCGCTGCTTCGGCTGGTGGTGGGTGCCGCTGGATGTTTACAGAAATAAACGCAACCCCTGGCAGGCACACGCCCGCCCAAAGTCCGCTCTGAGTTCTTTCTTTGCTGTTCTCACTTGAGGCGAAGGCCATCGCAGTTCGATTGTCTTTTATCGCTGGGAGTTTGGGCTATTTTTAAGAGAGCCGCAAGTGAAGGAGGTTGCCACTTGATAAGTAAATGTGGGCATGTGGCAACCATGGCCAGAGTCGTATGAGCAGATCAGGCACTCGCATTGAACTTTGCTTTTTGAGTCAGCAGCAACCGATTGGGTAGGCTCTCTGTAGCTGGGACAGCCAGTCATGTTTTGTTTTTAGCATATTCGTTGTTAGGAGAGAATCACACAAAATTCGAAATTTCTAAAAAATCGAGGTAGCTGAAAATTCGGTAATGGCAACTAGAGGGAATAAGTGGCTACTCCGCTTGCCCAAATATCCGCCGCGATATTCCACGACCCGACTCAACAATCCACCGGATCGAGCAATGGGCATGAATAACGACGGAAATCGGAATTCGGACTCCGACAGAGATCAGGATCAGCCCACCAAATATGCCACAGTCTGCTGGCACATCAGCTTGGTCATATTGATTAGCACGATGATCCTGGCCCTCGTGTGGACGGTCTATCTGAGCGTCGACTATTACGCCTGCACCCAGGAGGGGCGTTTCGAGAAGATGAGGCACGACTTTCTGACGCGCGAGCGACTACGGCGCGTGGGCGGCAAATTGAAATTGACCGATTTCGAGGAAATAGCCAACGGACGCCTGCTGGCGATCAAGCAGGTGGACGAAGAAATGCATAATATCTGGAGTGACTATCAGCCACGTCCGCACTTCCTATCCAAGTACAAAATCAACGAGACCGATCTCTACAGTGTGCTACGCGCGATGCCCAAGGGGGGACTGCTGCATGTTCACGATGCTGGCATGTTCAAGACGGATCGCCTCATTGAGCTCACGAAGTACTCGGACTTGTGGGCCTGTGTGGCCATCGATGGTACGTTTGAGGACTTCCGCTTCTCTAAGAACTTTCCCCACATTGAGCCCCGCGGCGACTACAAATGCAATTGGATGATGATGAGCAACTTCAGGCAGCAGGACGAGAACATCGCCCTGAAGAAGTTGCGCGACAGCCTGTCCATCGATTCGAATGGCTTCACCAGCGCCGCTGACTTAGCCAATCACATGAGACGGGCCCATCGTCTCATTCTCGGCCTGATCACATATCGCCCCATGTGGCCCACCTATCTTATATCGATGCTCGAGGATTTCTACGCCGATGGTGTCAGCTACGTCGAGCTACGCTCCTCGCTGCCCATTGTGAGTAATGCTTAATTGTGAGGCGATAATTGATTGCTATAAATAATCAACCTGCCTCCATAGATGTACGATCTAATTGGGTCGAACTATACCATTGCGGATACGGTTAATACTATTATCACCACCACGAATATCTTCCGTTCCGAACACGAAGACTTCGTTGGCATGAAATTGATCTATGCACCTTTGCGGGACCATAATGACAGCAATCTGGATACATATATTGCCAATGCACGGTTTTTGAAGGTAGAGTCCTGGGGTTTACTATCTGTAGGGCAGAGATTTAGATATGGAAAGAGTGGAATGTGTGGGTAGATAAATAGGGACTAGACAACTCAGACCTAAATATGATTTCCTCAGGGTCTAAAGACTATATTAGTCATATATCATATAATTCTTAGTCTTTTTTGGATAAAGTTTTCCATGTCTCTCGTAGGGTTTCGCTTTTCATTCCTTGCTCGACCATGAATGTCTAACTCTGTCAACTCTGTCTACCTGCCCTTAGGCCAATTTCCCCAGCTTTTTCATTGGTTTCGATCTTATCAATTTGGGTGACGAGTGCAATATGCCGCCACTTGGAGATTCAGTACAGCTGCTGCACATCAGCAAGGAAGTCGACTTCTATTTCCATGCGGGAGAGTCGCGCTGCGTGAACTCTACCAAAGGCAGCACACCAGATGCCAATATCGTGGATGCCCTGCTGCTGGGCAGCAAGCGAATGGGCAATCCCTTCAAATTGCCATTGCATATGGAAATGCTGAAGGTGATGCGATTGCTGAAGGTGGCCGCCGAGGTGTGTCCACTGTCCAATTACCATATGCAGTATGTGAGCGATTTCAGTCAGCATCCGGCGGCGTATCTGATTGCCGCCGGCTATCCCATTGTGGTGGGCTCGGATTATCCGTATTTCTGGAATGCGGCGCCTCTAACCGATGATTTCTATGTGGCCTTCGTGGGCATTGCCAATGGTCAGGCCAATTTGCGTCTACTGAAGCAGCTGGCCATGAATTCGTTTATGTACAGCGCCCTGAACGAAGTCGAGAAGCGTAAGGCTCTGTCCATTTGGCAACACAACTGGGATCAGTGGATCGCGGGCATCGTGCGCCTAGTCTAATGCTACAGTCGATCAATGAAAAACTTTCCATTCGTTTTACCTGAAAAAATCATTACTGTAAATGACAAATTAATTTACATATAATACTAACTCCATAACTATCGCTCTGTCTAACGCACTTCATTTGGCAATTGAGCGCTCTCTCGAGTGCTTTATAGCACATTTCCTTCGGCTTGGCTGTGGACAGTCATCGAAGGTCCATAAAGTTGAGTGCACTTGACTTTGCGTGAACTACGGCTCTATCGGACGTCAGCCGACCGTTAGTCGTTAGTCGGCAATCTAATCTCTGGCTTTCATAAATCAAGATGCCTGTCTGATTGGGAGGCGATTAGGGCTCCGTTGCCAGCCGTGGGATCCAAGCCGGAGTGCAGGGAGCCCATTCAATCAGATCTGGTTGCTTTCAGCTATCGCCGCATGCCGAAGCACGTGTTAAATCAAAGATAATAATTGTGTTTTCACTCTTTGCAGATAACGAGCACACGGCACTCGAATTAGCCAAAAATAAAATAAACAAAATTGAACAGCAACTGGTGCGAGGGCCTCAGTTGTTTTACGAGCTTCGGCGCGCGCGCACACACACATCAGATTCTCTGGAAAAATCTGTGACAATGCTGCGAGCTAATCTAATCGGTCTGCTGTGCCTCTGTTTGTCTCTGGGCCCGGCTGAGTCACGCACGCGGCCCAAAGATTTGACCATTACGAAATTCGTGACAATTGGCAGCGGCGGCGGCACATCCCACGTGGAGTCTTTGCTGGGCAACAGTCGGCCCAGTCCGGAGACGTACAAGACGGTGCGCAATGCCTTCTTCAACTACGAGGAGTCGAGAGCGCTGGGCAATGATCTGGAGCTGAGCTCGCGCGAGTTGCAAGCCAACGGGACGATCATGAAGGCCAAGCTAACGGAGTACAGAGAGGGCCTAATAACGCCGTATCTCTTCAAGCCGTCGCAGCATATCTTCAACGTGCTCGCGGCCATCGATAAGACGGACCTCTTCCAGATCCTGAAGCGCATGCCCAAGGGCGGAGTTCTGCACGCCCACGACACGGCTCTGTGCAGCACCAAGTCCATCATTGAGCTGACCTACTATGATCATCTGTGGATTTGCCAGCAGGCTGGTGATCTAAGTGCCGCCGCTCTGCGGTTCGCCAAAGCGAAGCCCGACGCTCTGACTGATCCCAACTGTGATTGGAGTCTGCTGTCGGAGGTGCGCAAACAGTATGGAGCGGACAAGGTGGACGAATATTTGGCCGAGCGCCTCACGCTTTACCCGACGACGGACTTCCAGGATATCAATGCTGCTTGGACCAGATTCACGCAAATCTTCCAGCTGCTCGACGGACTGCTCATGTACGCCCCGGTCTGGAGTGACTATTACTACAAGGCGCTGCAGGAGTTCTACGCCGATGGCGTTCAATACCTGGAATTCCGTACGACGTTGCCCACGGTAAGTTGCAACAAATTGAGCTTGGGGCAGATGGTCAATCTTTGGTTTTCATTGAACAGCTCTACGATATGGAAGGCACCGAGTTCACCCCGCTCGACACTGTGCGCATCTATGTGCAGACCCTGGAGAAGTTTATGAATCACCCAGATAACAAGGACTTCATTGGCTCACGCATGATCTATGCGCCTCTGCGCAATACAGATGCCGCGGGCGTGGCACGCTACATCGAGATACTCAAGCAGGTTAAGGTAGGTGATCTCCAGAGTTCCACTCACCTTGGCCCTGCTTAATTTCATCCCCAATTGGCAGGCAACGTATCCAGATTTCTTGGCTGGCTTCGATCTGGTGGGTCAGGAGGATCTGGGACGTCCGCTGCGAGAGTTTGTGGATCAGCTGCTGGAGGTGCCCGAGGATATTGACTTCTATTTCCATGCGGGCGAGACGAATTGGTATGGCTCGACGGTCGATGAGAATCTGATTGATGCTCTGCTGCTGGGCACGAAGCGCATTGGCCACGGCTTCGGTCTCGTCAAGCATCCCGTGGTGCTCGATATGGTTAAGAAACTGAATGTGGCCATCGAGGTGAATCCTGTGTCGAATCAAGTGCTCAAGCTGGTCAGCGATTTCCGTAATCATCCGTGCTCTCAGTTCTTCGCCGACGGCCATCCGGTCATCATCTCATCCGATGATCCCAGCTTCTGGAAGGCCACGCCTCTCTCGCACGACTATTACATTGCCTTCCTGGGAATCGCCTCGCAGCACGCAGACCTGCGCCTGCTCAAGAAGCTGGCGCTCAACTCCATTCAATACAGTTCGCTCTCCGCCGACCAAAAGTTCGATGCGCTCAATAAGTGGCAGACGAAGTGGGATCAGTTCATCGACTATGTCAACGGCGTGCCGAACACTGCGCCCGGCCAGCAGCTCGATTGACTAGCACGGGTGGTGGCAGCGCTTCTGATTACGTACAGTCTTTGGCGCTAGTCGGGCTACAATCAATCTACGAATTCTGGCCGACCTCTCCTGCAGGAGGAGCATGAGCGATGCCTCGCTCCTGCTCAGCTCCTATGTCGCTCTCCGATTCACACACTGCATTCATCTTGATTCATGTTCACATTCACGCTGTTTTATGTTAAGCTAATTAATATTGATTAGTGTTTAGGCATAGTGTTAAGCTCCACTAAGCACTCGACTTCCAAGGTCGTTCGCACTAAGTACCCTAACAGATTAAGCACTTGAATTTGCTCTGTTTATAAGCTTTTGTACTAAAACATTTTGAATAAAGAGCTCGACTTCTCGGGTCCAAATGCCTCAACTGCTGTGCTTGTTCTCCGGCTTGCCAGCTAAAAGCAACCTCAGGATAACAGTAATGAGCAGGGCAGTCAGGCGTGCACCTCACTGCCAATAGAGATGGAAGCGTGAGTTCGCACGAATTGCAGTAGTTGACTGCAATGGCTAAGAGCTGATCTATATTAGCGAAGGTAAAGCTAAAAACAGTTTGATGTATTTTATCTGGAGGATAAATCTAACATGTGTTTGCTTTGGATTTATCTTATTTGGCGGGAGATTAGTTTTCCCGAGACAAATTCTGAGTACAGTAAATCAAAATGTTATAATCAAAGCTTACTTTACAATGCACTAGAGGTAGATGCCTATTCTTTAAGGTACATGGTAAAGCTTAGCTCATATATTTCCATACTCTACTCTACTCATGCTCTCCTTATAGTTCGATTTAGTAGATATCTAAGGCAAATGTGATAATGTGTTAAAGTACACGACTCTGTTGCCTTATCCGCAGATCACTTACCATGAGGATATATTTGCCAAGAGTCTAGCTCACATCCAAATGTATCGTATATTATTTTACATCCCTTTCATTTGCCATAACTCGATTCAACATCGTGCCAAAGTGCATGTTAAATTTACAATGAGCCCAGGCCAACGAGGTGCTTCGGCACTCAAAAGCAACATATTTAACCGATTAATAGCATTGCGCTAAAGTAGTTGGGCGTTTCACGCTATCTGAATTGCATCGCTAAATGATATGCCGTGCGCAATGCATTTGGCAGGCTAACATACGACCTGGGCATAAATCTCTTAGCCATTGAGAGCTGTTGCCGCTGCCGTTGCTGCTGAGTGCACAGAAAAGCCGTCGATGTTTAATGAATGTGGAATGCTTTGGGCCAGGGGCCAAAGCAATGATTGCTTTGAGCACTGCTCCAAATGTATCAATTTTACGTGTTTCTGCTTAGTGGTGCTAACAGCGGATCTCCTTCCCATACTCCCTCTCCCTCTCTCTCTACCTCTCGCTCTCTCTCTTCGCTTTTGATTTTGATTTGAGCTCGCGTAATGAGCAGAGTTTTATGGGGTACAGCGCAAACTGCAGCGGGTTAGGCTTACGCCTGGCCCAATATGTATGAGCCCATAAAATTGATGGCCGCATATATATCTGTGTGTGTGTGTGCGTGTGACGGCCCCGGCCTGTGGCAGGCTCATCAATTTGATGCCGGGCACAGCCACATTTGATGTGGTGTTGAGGGCGCGCGGGCATAAAAAACCAGAGCCATTCACATAAATAACTAATAAAGTTCGCGTTTCGTAGTTGCCGGATGTGTTCTCACTCTCCCTCTCTCCCTCTCTCTCTCTCTCTCTCTCCCACTCTCACTCTGTCTCTTTCAGTGTGTGCGAAATTGACAAATGAATGTTTGTAATGTACATTGTATAAGACTTCAGTTGAACAGCTCCAGAAATGTTGTAGAGTTTATTTATTATTTTATTTTACTATTAGACTTCCTTTCGGAAAACGGATTTCAAAATTATTTCGGAAAAAAATGTCCGGAAAAGTGCAAGTGCGGCTGGTGCGCTGCATGTCCGGGCAGGCGGCGTCTAAAATGAATTTACCTGCAGCACTGTGCCGCAGACTGAGAGACATCACGCCCGACGCGTACGGCACGCTGCGCAAAATGATGATACAAATGGAGCGATCCTCGTGCCTGGGCAGCAGCTTGGAGCTGACGGCGCAGGAGTTGGCCGCCAATCGAGTGCTGAAGCGCATCAAGTGCAAGGAGCTGGAGACGGGCTTCCAGAACCCGAGCCAATTCACGCCGGGCCACCACATCTACGATGTGCTCCAGAAGGTGAAGCGGTCTCCGCTCTTCCGGCTGCTGCAGGACATGCCCAAGGGCGGCCTGCTGCACGCCCACGATACGGCGCTCTGCAGCACGGATTTCCTGATTGATCTCACGTACCGTGAGAATCTGTGGATCTGCACCGCCAACGAGGGCTGTCAGGCCATCGCCTTCCGTTTCTCCCAGTCGGAGCCCGTCCTGAAGGCCGTCGCCGACTGCAGGTGGCAGCCCATGAGCGAGTATCGTGACCAGCACGGCGAGCTGAAGGTGCGAAACTATCTCCGCAAGCGCTTCACCATGTACCCCTTCACCAATTTTGTATCCACGAATGAGGCGTGGCGCAAGTTCATGAGCATCTTCACGCTCCTCGACGGGCTGCTGCTCCACGCGCCCGTCTGGGCGGACTACTACTACAATGCGCTCAGGGAGATGCATGCCGATGGCGTGCAGTACCTGGAGCTGAGGTCCCTGATACCCAATCTGTACAGCCTGGATGGCTCCAAGCTGTCCATGGAGAACACCGTACAGATATACAAAGCGGAAACCGAGCGCTTCCTAAAGCATCATCCCGATTTCATTGGCGCGAAGCTGATCTATGCGCCGCTGCGTGGCGTCCAGTCGAAAGTTGTTGAGAAATATGTAGAGGACTGCATTGCGCTGAATGTAAGTGAAATGAAATGAAATTTGTTCTCCTCTTGCTCAGATTCCTCTCACGAAAATCGAATAGAAAAAATTTCCCAACTTTTTGATTGGCTTCGATTTGGTGGGCCACGAGGAGATGGGACGTCCGCTGGTGGACTTCGTGAATCCGCTGCTGAAGATGCCCGAGCACATCAATTTCTATTTCCACTCGGGCGAGACGAACTGGTTCGGCACCTCGATCGACGAGAATCTGATCGATGCCATTTTGCTGGGCACGAAGCGCATCGGGCATGGCTACGCTGTGGTCAAGCATCCTGTGGCCATGGAGCTGGCCAAGAAACTGGACATACCCATCGAAGTGTGTCCCGTCTCGAATCAGGTGCTGCAGCTCGGTCACGACTATCGCAACCATCCGGCTGCCATGCTCATTGCCAACAATGTACCGATTGTAATCGCCTCCGATGATCCCTCGTTCTGGCACGCCTCGCCCCTCACGCACGACTTTTACTTTGCTTTCCTGGGCATCGCACCCTACACAGCGGATCTGCGGCTGCTGAAGCATTTGGCCATGAGCTCGCTCAAGTACAGTGGACTCACCGCAGAGGAGCAGACCAAGGCCCTAGAGAAGTGGAAGAAGAAGTGGGACGAGTGGATTGCCTGTGTGATCGAGAAGGCGGAAGGCTACGCAGACTAGCAACAGAAGAAAGAAGCTGGAAAGCAAATAGGAACGCGAACAACAAATGGAGCAGAACATATTTGAATTTTCATTTATTATATTTCATATAGTATTATCTGCTTGTTCTTGCCTCGTCTAAAAGATACAATTGATATGGGTATGGATATGAGTATGCACAAGCTTCGATCTCTCATAAATTAAAGATATATGTATATTTTTAACTTGTGGGGATATGTTTTTAATTTAGTTCATTTTTTTTTTGTTTTCTTTTATTTTCATTTTCCTTGTGGAGAGAGCTTTTTGTCAACTATTTTGTTTTCTGTTGTCTAACTGATGTGCTCAAGCAGAGTCCTCAATACACTTACACAAGCATCGGAATATATATAAGCGAGTATATAGCACAATTATATAGTTTAAACATACACACAATCAACTCTTCGTTTAATGTTAAGTTAAGCCATTTATTGTACACCTATATAAGAAAATTACATTTATCCATTTCGGGCAACTTTTGCTTGTTGTTGTTTGTCAATTGAAGTTTCTTTTGTTGTTGTTATGTAAGCAGCTTTCTGTATATGTGTGCTCGCAAAAATACATATTAATGCCGTCTATATATATATATGTGTGTATATCTATATATTTGAAAGATTTCTATTCATATTTGCATATTTCAATTTTTGAAACATTACAAAATATTGTTTTTGCCTTGTCTGTTGTTTAGGTATTTCGTATCGCCTGCTCTCAACTCGCTCTTTATCCACACTTACTTACACTTAATGCCTCTTCTGCCTCCTCTTTTAGCTCAAATCCTAAACCATATTGGTTTGTTTGTTTTGTTTTTTTACAAGCTTAATCTCAATTTTGTTCAAAATCCAAAATACATTTATGTATATATATATATATATCAATATATCGCTATGCTGTACAAATCTTAAGTTCTACTCAACTGCTTAGCTGATCAATATGTTTTCTTCGAGAATTTTTCAAGTCTCACTTGACGCTATGTGCGTTGCCATTGTTGCTCTTCTTCTTCTTCTTCTTCTTCTTTCTGTTTTCTTTGCCGCTTTTCCTTTTTCCAGCTGATCTCGCCCACGCTTAGCGGATAGGGTATTATATCAGGCTGCTGTTCCGATGATGAAGTTTCCTCATTGCTCTTCACATTGCCWACATTCGGCCCCTGCTGCTGCTGCTCCCGCTGCTCCTGCTGCTCCTGCTGCTCCTGTTGCTCCTGTTGCTCCTGCTGCTGCTGCTGCTCCTCTTCGTATCCTGACACCTTCCGCATTTCATCAAATTTGTATTTCAGCTCATTTTGTAGCATTTTGGTTGCATGCAGATGCTGTTTCTGCTGCCGTTTGCTCTGTCTGCCCCCGAATCTGGTCGCATTTGCGTTCACTTTTCGATTTTTGTCTGCGCTGCAAAACTGTGGGAGAGAGAGAAAAGATTCATATTTAATGGGTATGCATAGTGCATAGGTTAAACTTTGAATTGAATTGTGAAATTGATAAGCAAACATAATAATAGGTTTGCCAGCAATTAAATAGTGCTTCTATGGGTTTCGCATACGTCACTAATTGATAAGAAATACTTGCTTGTAGTACTCAAGCCACTTATATAATTTCCCTTTGTGGTTATGTGCCCCGAGAGACAATTAAATTAAATTGCATTTGCAATATAATATTGCTTAAATGCACACAAATAAAAGCCAGCGCCCAGATAAGATAGACAACCACAAATCACCCAGCATGAAAGCCCATCTAGGAGCCAAGGAATGGGCTGACTTGAGTGGGGCAAGAAACCACAGCAATAATAATAATAGTAATAATAATAATGGCAAAGACAACAGTTAGCAATAATAACTGAAATATGCAGTAATCGCTGTGGCTGTCAACCGATAAGCGATAAGTGTGCCAGAGCAATCGATAAGCCTTTAACTCTCCTACGAGCACACTTAAAGCGAGATAAATTCGACTGATATAGATAAGGCAAATAAAATTAGCTGAGAGCGATTAGCGTTAGTGAAATAATTAAAAAAATTAGATTGAAATGAATATAGACCAAATTTTATAATATTTAATATGATTATTGCTCAAATTCAAAATTATGCTTAAAAGAAAAAAAAAATAATAAATAAAAAATAATTAAATTAAAAAAAAAATACAGAAAAATAGATATATATTAAAATAATTTACAACAAAAATACTTAAAGGAAAATCTAAATAAATTCTTAAATTAATTAAAAAAAAAAATAAAACAAAAAAAAATGTAAATAAAAATAGTTTTAATAAAATACAATAATAAAATTAAAACTGTAAAAAAATATTATTAACATTTAAATAAATTCTCGGACTTCAACTTAAATAAATATTAATAAAATACAAATTAAGCTTCGAATAAAATACTTTAGAATTTAGCTAAAATTTAATTCATTATATGTTTTTCTGATGTGTCACGCCATAAAATGTAAAATAAGTGGATCACACAGAGATAATGATGCTTAACTGGAGACTTATCAAATTCTCTATATGCTACTACAAATTCTAAAATTAACTTCTAGCCCCTCCAATTCAGTGTTTGTTGTTGTCCACAATAGGCGTAGGCTGACATTCTTATCTGGCTGTAGTATACTCTCATATATATGTATATTTCAAATTCCAATTCTCTAGCTTTGATAGCGGCAAGTGCTTTGAGTTGAGTCGGACGAACGGAAGAACAGCAAAAGAGAGAGACATCGATCAAAACAAGTTTTTATAGCCCCATTGTAGACGAATATATACGTATCGAAAATGTAAACAAAATATAATTTTATATCCCTATAATTACTCACGATCAGAGATATACCAATACAAAGTATTTATATTGGATTGTTATAAAATAGAGAAACCCTTGTAAATTGTCTATTGAAAATGGCATTGACATTCGCCTTGAATACAAATAGAACATAATCTGTGCCGCATATGATTAACAACAATTATAAAATCAACAACAACAACAACAACAGCATTTGAAGGTCACGCTAAACTTGACTTGCACTAAGTGGTATATATACATATATAGAATATGTTCATGTGCTCCATAATATTCTCTGAACTTTACATATATGTAGAATAACTCATATTAAAACTAATTATTTTGACGCATGTTTTGGTCACATCTGGAGCAAGTCCAGCCCTAATGATTGGGGTCAGCCTAGTCAGTAATATTAGTTTTAACTATAATTGCCGATCAGTCAAGTCTAGTCAGAGCAACAATTTGCTGAGTCGCTGTGCTCTCAGAATAGAATATAAAACAGCTGAAATCGCCGCTGCTCGCTCAGTTGCCAGCGAAACGTGAAGCCAGACGCCGAATCTAATCTGGTCGGAGAGCATTTTATATAGTATAGAGAAACCGAAATCATGAGCACGCGCACGACAGCTGAGAGAAAGACGAAGCAGACGGCGCGCATTGTTATCATTGGGGCCGGAGCTTCGGGCATTGCGGCAGCCACTCGGCTGTTGGAGCTGGGCTTTCGGAACGTGAAGATCTTGGAGGCGGAGAGTCGCGTGGGCGGACGCATCAATACCGTGCCGTTCGGCGACAGTGTGGTCGACAAGGGCGCCCAGTGGTGCCATGGCGAGGGCACCAATGTCGTCTACCAGCGGGTGAAGAACTTGAATCTCTTGCACGCCACCGGCGATGCTCTGAAGGCCACGTACTTCGTGCGCTCCAACAAGGAGATCCTGAGCGAGGAGACAGCCCTCCAGCTGACCACGGCCGTGGAGATGTCGCTGCCCACGGAGCCGAACGAAGCCAACGGCTCGCTGGGCGACCACTTGACGAGCAACTACTGGCAAATTGTGGCCAAGTCGCCAGCTGTGGATCGCACCGTGGCAAAGGAGCTGCTGGACAACCTTCAGAGATTCCGCTGCTCCTTCACGGCCTCGGATCATTTGTTCGAGGTCTCGCGCCGTGCCCACCTGGAGTTTGCCAAGGACGGGGGCGAGTTCATGCTCAACTGGCGCGACAAGGGCTACAAGACCTTCCTGCGCGTGCTGATGAACGCCAAGGCGGACCAGCCCGAGGATCTGGGCGTGCTCAATGGGCGTGTGCAGCTGTACAAGCGCCTCACCGAGATCAACTGGGATGGCACCGGTGAGCTGCTGCTGCGCTGCTGGGATGGCGAGGTGCTCACTGCGGATCATGTCATCTGCACCGTCTCCTTGGGCGTGCTCAAGGAGCAGCACCAGAAGCTCTTTGTGCCGCCGCTGCCTGCGGCCAAGGTGCGAGCCATCAATGGCCTCAAGCAGGGCACTTTGAACAAGCTGTTCCTGGAGTATGCTTCGCTGGTCTTGCCCAAGGATTGGTCGGGCGTCAACTTCCTCTGGCTGGAGGAGGATCTGCAGGAGCTGCGCGGCACCGAGCGCTTCTGGCTGGAGGGCGTCTTCGGCTTCCATCGCGTTTTGCACCAGCCACGCCTACTGCAGGGCTGGATCATAGGCGAGCATGCTCGCTACATGGAAACCCTCACCGAGGAGCAAGTGCTCAGCGGCCTGCAGTGGCTCTTCAACAAGTTCCTGCCCTTCGACATGCCGCAGCCGTTGAGGCTCATGCGTTCCCAGTGGTACTCGAATCCCAACTTCCGCGGCAGCTACAGCTCGCGCACCACCTACACGGATGAGCTGCGCACCGGTCCCTGGGATCTGGAGACGCCCCTGCTCAACGCCGATGGCACGCCGAGAGTTCAGTTCGCTGGCGAGGCAACCAGCAAGACGCACCACTCCTCAGTGCACGGCGCCACCGAAACCGGTTGGCGTGAGGCGGATCGCCTCAATGCCTACTACAGCGCTCGAAACGCGTAAAGAGATTACGATTACGAAATAATTGCCCAATCATCGTATAAACGTGTATCTCGCTTACAAATTAAATTTCATTTGCATTGCAAAATTATATAATAATAAAAAAGCAAAAACAAAACCAGAATACATTAAATCTATAGAAAGAGAAAGAGAGAATGAAAGAGGCAAAGAAGGCAAGAGTATGTGACGGCCGCTGTTTATATAGGGCATGCGTATAGAGAATCTATGTAAATATACATGAACTGAATGCTCTGAAAATATTCCAGATGGAAGGTATTCTTAGATATTTCTTCACATGGTTCTTCATATCATAACAGATTCAGTTCACAGAATCTCTCTCTCTCTCTTTCTCTTTATAATATATTTTAATTAAAGCTCTTACTCTTAGGATGACTAGTTAAATATTAACTCTTACATGT